CTGTCGCACGACACTCTCCTGTGGCACCACCGCCTTGGTCACCCCTCCCTACCTCGCCTGCGTAGCATGCACTCTCGCTTCCTGGTCTCTGGTCTTCCCAGGTCTCTGCCTGCCCTCCCTCCCTCGCCTGCGCCGCCCTACATTCCTTGCGTCGAGGGGCGGCAGCGCGCCGCTCCTCACTCCTCCTCGTTCCCTCCCACAGAGGCTCCCCTACAGACTCTCCACCTGGACGTGTGGGGCCCAGCCCGCGTCCGTGGACAGGGCCACGAGCGGTACTTCCTGCTGGTTGTCGACGACTACACGCGTTACACCACGGTCTTCCCCTTGCAGCGCAAGGGGGATGTCCCTGATGTTTTGATCCCCTGGATCCGCGCTGCTCGTCTCCACCTCCGCGAGCGGTTCTAGTCGGACATTCCTGTCCTGCGTCTGCACTCTGACAGAGGTGGTGAGTTCTCCTCAGACCTCTTGGCGGCCTTCTGTGCGGAGCACGGCATCCGTCAGACTTTCACGCTTCCGGCCTCTCCGCAGCAGAATGGGGTTGCTGAGCGCCGCATTGGCTTGGTCATGGAGGTCGCTCGTACCTCCATGATCCATGCGGCTGCCCCCCATTTTCTGTGGCCGTTTGCGGTCCGGTACGCCGCGCATCAGCTCAACCTCTGGCCCCGTGTCTCCTTGCTGGAGACCTCGCCCACACTGTTGTGGACGGGGAAGGTTGGCGACGCGTCGCGTTTCCGGGTCTGAGGTGCCCGTGCCTTTGTCCGCGATACCACTGCGGACAAACTCTCTCCTCGCGCCATTCCTTGCGTCTTCCTTGGCTTTGTCCCTGACGCGCCTGGCTGGCAGTTTTACGACCCCGCCTCGCGCCGTGTCTTTGCATCTCAGGACGTCACCTTTGACGAGTCGGTCCCCTTTTACCGCCTCTTCCCCTACCGCACTGCTCCTCGCCCCCTCCCGCCGCTCTTTCTCGCCCCAGGTCCTCCCCAGGTAGACCCCCTCCCTACGCCAGGCCCTGCTCCTTCAGGTGTTTCTCAGGTAGACCCTCCCGTCCCTGCGCCTGTTGAGGTCACTGGTGACTCCGGTTCTGCTTGGAGTGGTGCTGTCCCTAGGGGTGCGGAGCTTCGGGGTGCGCAGCGTGGAGGTGCTGAGTCTGGGGGTGCTGAGCATGAGGAGCCAGAGGGTGCGGAGCCTGGAGGTGCTGAGCCTGCACGTGAGGAGCCTGGAGGTCCTGCGCCTGGGGGTGCTGCGTCTGGGGGTACTGCGCCTCCGTGTGCGGAGCCTGGGGGTGCTGGGTCTGGGGGTGAGTCGCCTGAGGGTTCTGAGACTACTGTTACGCGGTCTCCTTGGATTAGCCGTCTTCGTCCGCGTGTGCCTCTCACCTCCCAGCAGCTGCACGACTGGTACGGTCGCCGTCAGCGTCGCGCTTCTGCACCTCAGGGCTCTACTGCTGGGGGTTCTTCTGCTGGCGCCACTAGAGCTGGGAGTGGTGCTGGTCCTTTGCCTGCTAGAGGTGCTGGTGTCGCTGGTCCCGGAGGTGCTCGTACTGGGGGTACTGGAGCTGCTGGGGCGGGCGGTGGTGTATCTGAGGGTACTACTGCTGGTGGCACTGCGGTTGGAGACCCTGGGACTGGGGGTGCCGGTTCTGGGGGTGCTGCACCAAGAGGGGCTAGAGCTGCTGGGGGTGCTGGAGCTGCTGGAGGTACTGGAGCTGCTGGAGGCGCTGGAGCTGCTGGAGGTACTGGAGCTGCTGAGGGTACTGGACCTGCTGGAGGTGCAGGAGCTGCTGAGGGTGCTGGAGCTGCTGGTGCTGGTGACACTGCACAGCCGCGCCTGTTCTTTGCTCCGCCGTCTCCGTCGTCTCTGCCACCGCCTGACTCCGTGCTTCGCCAGGTTCTTAGCCTCCCGTCGTCTACTGGTCTTCCGTTACAGCCTGGCTCACCTCTGCCTGCTCCTTCTCCTTACGCTGAGCAGACCGGGGGCCTTACTGAGCGTCGTGAGCCTGCGTCGCGTCCTGTCTCACCTGTCCGTTCTGGTCGTTCCAGTCGTCGTGTTCCTCGTCAGCGTCAGCCGGCTGTCCCCGGCCCTTCCCTTGTAGGCCGTCGTCCTTCCTCTCCTCCGCAGAGTGTTCCTCTGCCGTCCCCACCTGCGTCCTCTCTACCTGTCGTTGCTGACCCTGAGTCTGACCGGTTTCGTGCTGAGCACCCTACTGTCACGCGTCTACTAGCCACCGTTGTCGCCGACCCGTCGTTTGAGTCTGCTGCTGCGTCTGCCTTAGTCGCTGAGCTTGTTGACTTTGCTGCTGCCTGTCGTCTAGACTACGTCGCTAGTCTTGTTACTGAGTCTGAGTCTGTATGTCCTCCGTCCGTCGGGGGTGAGTGTGCTCTTGGCACGGACGTCCTTGAGGACAGGCAGGAGGACCTTGAGTGTCTTGCAGCCGCTGCGCCTCATTTCGTGCCCATGCTGCTTGCCCCTGAGGGAGACCCGGATGCACCAAACATCCCGACTCCTCGATCGTACGCTGAGGCGATCGAGGGTCCCTACTCCTCTCAGTGGCAGACAGCCATGGACGCAGAGATGGCATCCTGGAAGTCCACAGGCACCTACATCGACGAGGTTCCCCCTCCTGGGGCGAACATTGTCAGTGGCATGTGGATTTTCAGGGTGAAGCGGCCGCCAGGTTCTCCGCCTGTCTTCAAGGCTCGTTACGTTGCTCGAGGCTTCAGTCAGCGAGAGGGAGTTGACTTCTTCCAGACCTTCTCCCCCACCCCGAAGATGACTACTCTTCGGGTGCTGCTGCACGTTGCCGCTCAGCGTGACTACGAGCTTCACTCTCTTGACTTCAGCACAGCGTTCTTACAGGGCAGCCTGCACGAGGAGATCTGGCTGCGCCGTCCGCCTGGCTTCACTGGGTCGTTCCCTCCTGGTACCCAGTGGAGCCTCCGACGGCCAGTCTACGGTCTCCGCCAGGCGCCACGTGAGTGGCACGACACACTGAGGACGACTCTTGCGGCTCTTGGGTTTGCCCCGTCGACTGCTGACCCGTCGCTGTTTCTGCGCACCAACACTTTGCTGCCGCCGTTTTACATTCTCGTGTACGTCGACGACTTGGTCTTTGCCACTGCTGACACTGAGGCTCTCGCCCTGGTCAAGTCGGAGCTGCAGAAGAGACACACGTGCACAGACCTGGGTGAACTGCGCAGCTACCTTGGCTTGCAGATCACCTGGGACAGAGCACGCCGCATCATCACACTGACTCAGTCCCACATGGTGCAGCAGGTCCTTCAGCGCTTCGGCTTCACCTGGTCCTCCGCACAGGCCACTCCTCTGGCTACAGGTCACTCGCTCTCAGCTCCACCTTCGGACGAGTCCGTAGAGCCAAGTGGTCCTTACCCAGAGCTAGTGGGCTGCCTCATGTACTTGATGACCTGCACTCGTCCTGACCTTGCGTACCCTCTTGGCCTTCTGGCTCGCTACGTGGCTCCTGGTCGGCACCGAAAGGTGCACATGGATGCTGCTAAGAGGGTACAGCGCTACTTGTGCAGTACATCGGGCATGGGGCTCGTGCTTGGAGGACGGGATGACGTTGTCCTCACTGGTCACTCGGACGCCTCTTGGGTTGACGACCAGGCTACTCAGCGGTCGTCACAGGGTTACACCTTCGGCCTTGGTTCTGGTTCAGTTTCCTGGCGTTCCACACACTCGTCTTCAGTTCTCGGCTCCAGTTGTGAGGCCGAGATCTACGCCACAGCCGTGGCTGCACAGGAGCTACGCTGGCTCACCTACCTGCTGACCGACTTGGGAGAGCGGCCTCGTTCTCCTCCAGTGATGTACGTCGACAACAAGGCCGCCATTGCCTTGTGTGAGGAGCACAGACTGGAGCACAGAACGAAGCACATCGCTCTGCGTTACTTCCTTGCTCGAGAGCTGCAGCAGCGTGGCCAGCTTCGTCTTGCTTACGTGGCCACTCGGGCCAACACTGCTGATATACTCACCAAGGCACTTCCGCCTGGTGATCATCAGCGTTTCTGTACTTTGTTAGGCCTTGTGCCCACTCTTCCCCACTTGCTGTAGGCTTTACTTGTACTGCGATTTATATATATATACCTGCCTGCTTGCTCTGGTAGGTAATGATCACTGTGTTGTTGTTGTGAACTGGTCTTGTGGCCTTTTGCCTGTGCTCGGACTATGTGGTGACGTTGTGATCCACCCTGAGCTTGCTTTGCATTTCCTGACTGGTCTTGTGACCCTCTGTTCTCCCCCACTTTGCCTATGGGGGTGTGTCAAACATACTTGTATGATTATAATTGGGTAGGCTGTAGTGGGGTTAGCCTTAGAGGGTACAAAAACAACCTCGACACTCTAGTCTTGTACCCTAATCTCTACCTAATCCACTCACTCGCCTTAGTTCTTAACATGAGGTGTAATGTTAAAGTGTGTCGGTTCTGCATTTGAGGTGGGGATCGTTGTTGGGGCAGCGTTGCTCGCCTTAGCATACCGGAACCATCTCTGTTGTAGTACCTATGCATTTTAGCATTCACTCGCGGTTGTTATGTGCAGTTTTTGCTCGTCTTGAATGGATGCACATGATTTGCATTCATGACCAGTGGGTGTTTTTCTCGTCCATTGTGTTTGATGTCGACCAATTGTTCCATTCGCCGTATTTATCGACGATTATGGAATGATAGGTCACATTTGGTTACACTTTTTTGGGAACTCATGTGTATCAGTGCTGTCATCTCCACACATTTGGAACACTCGTTATCGAAACGTACAAAGGAGTGGTTCGGACGTTGTGAAAATGACAAAAACTGCACTGTTCATTTGACTAGACCGAAAAGTGCTACCAATGTATAGGGACCACTTTTAAGGTTCATTCAACATGGATGGAATATTAATCATCCATTTGCTTTTTTTTTATGATTTCTAGGTGGCTGGTTATTTTTATGGTATCCTGTCTTCTGTTGACCTCCTTGTCATCCACGCCCTCGTCACACTCTGCCTCGTCACACTCTGGATGCTGCAGCTGCTCGCACCCACTTGGCCAGCTGCTCCTTGCCCTGCACAACCCAACCACACCCACGCACCCACCATGCACCCACCCAGACCCACACCCAGACCCACACCCACACCCACACCACACCCAAATCCACACCCACACCACACCCACCTCTGCTCCCTCACACACACACATGCTTGCACGCACGAACACAGACACAACCACACACACAGTGGCAGGTGGGGCGCACATGCAATGAGCCAAAGACGGAGCAGGCAACACGCAGAGCAATGCGATCCGTGCACTCGTGCACATGCAAGGATACGGCAATCGAGTGGGCAACAAACAGAGCACTAGGGACCCGTGTCCCTGTGCACACGCAGCCCGCCAGGCGTACCTGTCTGGGCGGCACACTGACCTGTCTGGGCGGCACACTGACCTGTCTGGGCGGCACACTGACCTGTCTGGGCGGCACACTGACTGTGGGCAAATCCTCTGCCGTGAAGCCCAGCGGCTCCAGCACCTCCGCATAGCTGCACGGTAGGCAGTGGCACGCGGCGGGGGGGGGCAGGCAGGCAGTGGCGCCATGAGGAGTCGGTAGTGGTGGCGAGTGCGGCAGGAGAGAGGAGCAGAGAGAGAGGGAGGCACGGAGGGCGGTGGGGAACATAAGTGCGGAGGCCCAGGATGGGGAGGGCAGTAAGGGATTAGGAGAAACAAATGGCAGTACAGCGAGGGCTGCATAGGGCCGAGCAGGAGGGGGAGGGGGCAGGGGGGCCAACAGCGGATGTGACAAGCGGACCAGGCGGAGCAGGGGGTACCGGGGGGAAAGGGGGGAGAGTAGGGAAAGGGAGACAAGGAAAACAGGTTGAATGGGGACGAGAGGGCGCAGGGGCGAGGGGGGGCACGGGGGAGAGGAGGGGCGCACCTGTCCTTGGAGACGGCATAGGGTGGGCCGCCCTCGTGTCCATCGATCTGCAGGCCAGGCGCACGCAGCGAGGGGCAGACACACAGCCAGCCGTGCGCAGACAGCAGCGATTAGTATTTGCCCATAGGGAGCATGCGAGGGTGCATTCATGTGTGCAGTAACACGAGGACACACATGAACATTGAGTGATAGGCGTACAGGGATACGTGGTGAGAGGGTGCAGGGGCACGCACGGGGAACATGAGGGTGAAGAGCACCCCGTGTGGTGCGAGCAGCTCTGCTGTCTTGGCCGCCCACTTGCCCCTCAGCGATGGCGGCAGCGCACAGAAGAAGCTGCACGCAGGGAGGGCCGTGGGGAGGGACAGGGGGGCATGGGGGCATGGGGGCATGGGGGTGCGAGGGTGTGAGGGCCATGGCAGGGGCAATGGGGCATGTGAGCACTAACTGGGACTGGTTGAGACCGGTGGGGAGGGGCATGCGGGCATCGAGGGATTGTGCATGGGGGCATGGACGGATGGGGACGCAAGGGCGTGAGGACGGGACGAGGGCAGGAGCGATAGGGCATAGAGAGGGCGTGGATGCAGGAGAGGGGGCGAGGATAGGGATGTGCACTCAGCACAGGTGGAGAAGGCGAATGGCACGCGAGACAGACGGGAGCCATTGAGATGCGCGGCACACCACAGGGGAACGGAGTGCAGCAGCGGAGGAAGAGCAGGCGTGGAAGCAGGTGTGGCAGCAAGTGTGGCAGCAGGTGTGGCAGCAGGTGTGGCAGCAGGTGTGGCAGCAGGTGTGGCAGCAGGTGTGGCAGCAGGTGTGGCAGCAGGTGTGGCAGCAGGTGTGGCAGCAGGTGTGGCAGAAGGTGTGGCAGCAGGTGTGGCAGCAGGTGTGGCAGCAGGTGTGGCAGCAGGTGTGGCAGCAGGTGTGCCAGCAGGTGTTTGGGGCGGGGCTCTCACGTGTAATGCAAGGGGGTGGAGCAGCGGAGGGCAGTGGAGCCAGCAAGGGGGTGGCATGCAAAGGGTGAGAGGCAGAGGGGCGGGGCTCTCACGTGTAGTCAAAGACAGCATCGAAGGGCTGTGGTGGGCGATACTCAAAGAAGTCGCCACACACAAACGCCATGGCCGCCCTGTTGGATGCCCCCTCCACCCGCTGAGAGCAGCAGGTTGAGTGTTGACAGGGATGAGAAGCAGGGGGGAAGGAGTGTTGCAAGGGATGAGAAGCAGGGGGGAAGGAGTGTTGCAAGGGATGAGAAGCAGGGGGGAAGGAGTGTTGCAAGGGATGAGAAGCAGGGGGGAAAGAGTGTTGCAAGGGATGAGAAGCAGGGGGGAAAGAGTGTTACAAGGGATGAGAAGCAGGGGGGAAAGAGTGTTGAAAGGGATGAGAAGCGGAGGGGAAAGAGTGTGGAAAGGGTTGAGAAGGTAGAGAAGGTTACGCGGGTAGAATTTGAGCAGCAGGGGAGGGCAGCGGAGCCAGCAAGGGGATGGGCGAAGAAGGGAAAGGGCGAATGGGCGGCAGCAATCAAGCAACATGAGTGGAGTGAGCTATTGCGCGGCCATGTCACGTGCGCCCACCTTCTCTGCGTGCGCCACAGCAGATGAAGAGATGTCAAGACCCGTCGCATCCCTGCCATTTGATGCAAACGCCTCCACGTCGTAACCCTGCCATGCCATGCCACGCCATGCCACGCCATGCCATGCCATGCAAATATATTCAACATCACCCCACGCCTTGCCATCATGCCATGCCATGACATCCATACCATGCCATGACATCCACGCCATGCCATGCCATGCAAAAATATTCAACATCACCCCGCGCCTTGCCATCATGCCATCCCATGACACCCATATCATGCCATGACATCCACGCCATGCCATGCCATGCAATGCCATGCCACGCCATTCAATGGATCCAACATCACCCCATGCCATCCATGCCATGCCATGGTATCCATGCCATGCCATCCATCACCCCCATGCCATGCCATAGACCCACGAGATGGCATGCAGTGATGTGCCAAGGGATGGAGATTTTAGTCAACCAAACCAACGAGAAATCATCACGCATACCTTGGGCTACACTCCCTCCGCCTACTCCCAGTCCCTAAAAACAACTTTTGGGAAATGGTTTCTCATAAAACACCCACTGTGCTGCAGCCAGGCGCCAGGCACTCACGGTGCCACAGCCGGGGACGAGCACGCGGCGGATGGAGGGCGGCAGGTGCAGCGGCGACCCCTCTTCCGCCGCCACGAGCGCCGCTACAGCCGGCGTCACGCCGCCCAGGTCCCACGGCGTCGTGCTCGCCTGCCACGCCTTGTCCCACCCGCCTGGCCCGGGCGCGGGGGGAGGGATGAAAATTAGGGTTAGGGATTTCCCGAGGGATGCGGAGGGATAGAGAGCGGCGAGTGGAGGCGATTGGGCGTGGTGGGTGGAGTGGAGCGAGATGCGAGGATGGAGGGAGCAATCAACCACTCCAGCGCCGGGGTAACGTAAGTAATTCTTACAAAATAATCCGGCGCGCCTCAAGGTGCGGATGATGGGGAAGCGAATGACGGAGGCAAACAGCGCAGACGCCGCGCTGGCACGGACGCAGACAGGGCGGACGGGAATCATGAAGCCTGTGCGACGGCGAGCGTCGCAGCAGTCATCGCACAGTCCCAGTCCCCGGCGGCGGCCGGGAATCCCAGTCCTCGCACAATCCCAGCCCCCGTGCGTTGGCCCCAGGAATTGGAGAGAGGCTCACCGACGGGGTCGTCGGCCAGCAACTGGCGCACCTCCATCATCCCCGGAATGGTCTTCGGCGCCTCGAACGCCAGCACCTCCGACTGCGCGCTTGGCGCGGACGCGGCGTCCGCTGCCCCTTCCGCCGGGTGGACGCGTTCTCAGTCATGCCGCGTACGCAGGTGCGCGCGGACGAATCGGATTCGAGATTGCGCGGAGGGATGTGCGGAAGACGCGCAACGATCAATCACGGAACCCTTGCGGAATCGGGTTTTGTTGAATGAGGGATGCCCGCGACGGTAGAATTTTCCGGATACGCACGGAGTGGGAAAAAAAACTGCAAGTATCTTGCGAAAAAATCCTTGCCCCCAAAACATCCCCGCAAGTGGAATCCTCGTTGTGGAGTGTCGAACATGCCCGTCATGCCTGTCATGTAGGAAACAAACGAGCTCCTCGCGTGTCAACCGGCATCAACTTCGAATACTGTACAGTACGTCGCGTCGCAACCTATCACGGAACCTCGCAGCCCCTACTTACCGGCCTACGTCACCGAACGACCGTCAAACATTCGCCACCTCGACAGGTTCCCCTCCCTTGACATCGTTTCGTCGCCAGGTAAGTTGCTGCCCGCCCTGGCCCAACCAACTCGCGACGACTAATTCGTGCACTGTTCCAGTGTACATCCTGTCCTGTTCCAGTACAGTATCGCCACGACACGTCTCTGCCCCGCCAGCTGCGACCACTAGTCCCCATACCACAAATATCTGAAAGGGTTACCCGATGGATGTGGTTCGGGCCGGCCCTGGACTAGTCTAGACTGGGCTCTGAGAAAATCTGCCGACGAGACAATTCTAGAGCCATTTTCTCTCATATTCCGCGAGATCTGCGACTTTCATTACAGTTCCAACGTCGCACGTTCGACATGCCAAGGGCTACACCGAATCGAAGTATGAACTTGCTCTATAACTCATCTAAATCTGGTAGTCCAGGATTGTATCCATTCTAATGGCGCATTCTGAAGTTTGCCCACCATCCGAAGTTTGCCACTGTTGGAAACAAGTAACTTAAGCGCCTCTGTCGTGTCGAAACACTAAGTTATAAGCGAAGCAAAACACAGCGAAGCATCGGCGAGTCAACCCTCGGAGGTTGAACAACTGCTGGAGGTTACGCGAAAGTCAAAGGTCAGCGACCCTTGACCTGACAAGTACAGCGCGACAGCAAGGACAAACAACTGACTCGTTATTGAGCAGTTGCCCGAGTCCTCACTGTATCGAACCGCAACAGCAACAGCAAAACAGTTATTAGTTATAACTCTTCATATTCTCTTGTACTCTTATAAAAGCTTGTACCTCCTTGTTTTAATCAATCTACTTTGCCCTCACATACCAGCGCAAGGTGGTTCACAGACTTCTCATTAAAACGCTTCCGCTAGTACATTGTCCTACCCAGAATTTAGTCCTGCAAAGATCCTAAGGGCTTTTCTCAGCCCAACATGGTATGAGAACTATCAGGACAAATTTAACTACAATCAAGACACCTAAAACATCACAAGGCATGTGGAAACGCAGAAGGAGAGAAGCTCCTCTAATGGCTCTCCCGATACTACTCCTACTCCACCTCCCGCCTATGGTCTACACACAGAGGAGGGCACAACAACAAGACCGGCAGCTGGGTCTACCAAAACTCCCGCAAATTAAGCCGCGGGCTTCGACCCAGATATGATGGAAAAAATCTTCTCCTTCATGTCCTTCTACGAACAACACTAGCAAGGGGCACCTGCGCAGTCAAACAACAGCAACAACAACATCGCAACACCGATGAGCCTCGACGGTTCATCCTACGCGTGAGGAAATCAGCAACAACAACCTACCTTCGCCCCGTACGAACCTCAGCGCGGTTCCATCAGCTTCATGTCGCGCCAGTAGCCTTCACCTGAACAAGAGAAGACACTAGATGCACTTCAAGTTCAGTCGCAGTTTGCGCACGTCTTAAAACTGCAGACGTCAAGACCGTTCGACGGAAAGGACTTCTTTACCTGGTCATTCGAATTCGAGCTGATGATGGAAGGCGCACAGATTCTTGGCTTCTTCGACGGGTCCCTGCCATATACAACGCACGGAACGCAATACGATAAGCAGCAGTATACATATCAATCCATGATGGCGTATACAATCCTACTGCGCAACGTCACACCGAACCAGCAGCAGAACATTCGGTCTTACCGAGGATACGGAAACTCCGCCGAGCTCGCGTACAATCGCCTGAAGAACCTATATCAGGCAACAGACAGTGTCAATCAGAGCCGGTTAATGGCACAACTGACAACAGT